TCTAAACAAAACAAAACCATTCTTCCCTAATGCCCAGGGCTGTTTTAGCCACACAACCCCAGAGCTGGCTGGAAGTCCAACCCAACAGGATGGACAGAGCCCTGCAGAGACAGCATCTGCAGGCAAAGCTTTTCCAAGGTTTTCCATCACACCAAAACAGGAGTTTCCATAAAGATAAACTGGTTTCTGCTCATTTTTATAGAGCTGAGGGGCCAATCCAGCCTCAGTGTGTTTCCTCATCCTCAGTGGATCAAGACTGTGATCATCACTTTGACCCACAGATATCAAAGTTGCAACAACCAACTCTCATTTGTGGATGGTAGGACCTTTCCTCTTACCCTTTATTTATTTTCCTTTTTTTTTCCTTAGATATCTTTATACTTCTATATTGTTTCATTTCCATAGGTATATAAAATGAAAAAATATTCATAACCAAACTCTGCAGCAAAATTAAGTCAATTAACTCCTGGGATGCTTTTTCATGAATAAATGGAGTGAGAGAGGGGGTGTAAGGTGAAAAAAGGACATCTCAGTGACTGAAAAAGAGGACTAGAAAAGGGGACTGAAACACAAGGTTTGAATAGAATCATTCAGGTTGGAAAAGAGCTCTCAGATCTTTGAGTACAACTGATAATGAAGCTCTTCATTAAAACACAGCTCCAGAAAGACGAAGGGCTCTGGGGCTGCAAGGACAGAGAAAGGTCCCTGTCCCCCTGAGCCTTGGGAAAAGCAGCCAGTTTTAGCTGTGAGTATCCAGACATTCCCCCAGGGCTGCCATACAGCTGGAATAGGAAATAAAACAAGAGAGAAGTGCAGTCAGAAAAGCCTCTACCTGCAGAGAGCTTGGAGCAACAGCATGAAGGCACCAGAGTCCAGGCTGATGCCTAAGTCTTAGCTTTTGTGTTTTTCAGATTCTGTGCTGCTTTAGTGTGTAACTCTGAGCTTCACATGAAGTGTTAACAAGCTCTCTGCACAGAGTTGTTAAGACAAAACAATCCTTTTCCAACTTGAGACCCAGGACAACTGTCACAAGCTCCAGGCCAAAAAGTATAAACAATGGTGAAAAGAGAAAAATGAGTAGGATGGGACTTCATAATCTAAAGCTGTAATTGGACAATTAACTCCAATATGCAAATGGAGCAGAACTGATCACAGTGAGAGACCCCGTGACCAGTTGTGCATTTTGTGACCATTTTGGTTCATCCTGGGTGCAGCCCTGGCTGGGCTCTTGTGCTGCCCAAGGTGGATCCATTGAGGAGATCCTTTTAATAAATCCCTGCTTTATTCTTTAACTCTGTCCAGCCTCTGCTCTAGGCCAGCCTTCACAAGGCATCAAGGCTTCAGCTGGGGATTAATCCCAAGTGCTGCTGCCACAGGACATGGGCACTGGGAGCCAGCTGGGAATGTGCTGGGAGCACTGGGACAGTGCCTCTGGGGCTGTGCTTGGCTGGCTGGGTGGAGAGGGACACCTCATGGGTGTGGCTGTGCCACAGGCATGCCGTGAAAAGGTGCTAGAGAACCCCTCCAGCCTTGGTAAGGGTTCAATAATTGCACAGGATCAACACCAGGAGTTCCTGGGTTGGGAAGAGCCCAGCAGGAGGGATTGGTGTGCCCTGAGCAACGGGGGTCACTGAACCTCGCCCCACTTGGCACCACCAGCTGCAGCAGAAACCACCCTCCTGTGTCCTCCTGGATTTATGGAAGCTGCTGGAGTGGCTCCATCTGGAAGCAACCTACACTGAGATAATCCTGATGACTTGGGCATCTCCTTCATGCCCTAAATGCCAGCGTGGCTGGGCCTGGCACCGGGACACGAGTGCTGAACTCCTACATCCTCAGAGCATGAAGCAAATTTGCCTTGGGCCACGTGGGCACACGACTCCCACATCCTCAGAGCATGAAGCAAATTTGCCTCTCTCCTTCCCTTTTTAGGAGGCAACTATAATATCCATTAGTTAGTTAATTCATTAAGTCATTTGAATATATTCAAGGAGTAGAATATTATAATTCATATTATAGTCTGCATAATCCTATAATTAAAATCATAGCCTACTATTAAAATCTCAGTCTCATAGATGACGTGTCTGCAATTGCTGATCTAAAAGAGGGAATACCAAGGATGGACATTAGAGGGAACTGCCAACCCCAAGCTGACAAAAAGCAGGAAAATGCCTCTAAAATAAGAATAAACTCAATAAATAGCTCAGCTCCTCCAGGCCTGGAGGACAGATGGTTACATAGAAAAATATTCCAAGCCTGTAACTTCTGCCTGACATCCTCTCAGCCATGCCCTGAGCTCTGTGACTCCAGGGATGTGCTCCAGCATGGAAATGGGAAAAAAACCCAGTACCACTAATTTTGTAGGCATTTACAGTCCTGAAATGGTTTGGGTTGGAAGTGACCTCAAAGCCCATCTGATTCCAACCCCTTCCACCTCCCACTACACCAATCCTGCCCAAGCTGGCCTTGGTCACCCTGATCCACTTGATCCATGGGAGGCATCCCAAGGCCTTTTCCCAGCTGGCACTGAGCTCTGAAAAGGAGACGTGAGCTAAAAAAAGATGAGCAAAAACATTCCATGGGATTTGCATAAAGCCTCACAAACCTGCCCACGTTTTATGTTCCGAGTTCTTCCCTATCACAAACCTCCCCTTGGAAAAAATATGCCCTTGAAGGACAGTTAGCTGGAGCTAATTAACTGCTGCTTGGAAAGGAATCCAGGTTAAACTTGCTGCCAAGGAGACTTTTCTCTCAGGGAGTTTTGCCTCGAGAAGTAATTCTGGAACACCAAAACTTTCTGGAAGGGCTCACAATTCTTCTGATCTCTCTCCCTGAGGAACTTTACAATTTTTCCCTCCTCTATCCGTCCTTCTGCTGGTTTTTAAGGAGCCCAGCAAACAGGAATATGGAATTTAACTGCTAAATACTTAACTTTTCAATAGGGCATTCTTTTTTTTGGATGTTTTTCCAGGCAGACAACACTGATCCCTCTTGCTCTGTCCAAGGCAAAATGTCAAGATGTGACAATAATGTCACTGTCACCCCCACTCTGCAGTGACAGGGCTCCAGCACGGGCCTCTGACTGAAGATAAAAAAGTTGCTATCAAAATTAATTGGTTCAGCCTTTTAGAGAACAATTCCTCCATCAGGCAGGGCCCTGCCCTTCCATTGGGATGAAATATTTGGCATTAGAAGGAAAGAAGTGGAGAAGATAAAAGCTCAAAAATGTGAAGGTCAAAAGCCAGTGGCTCCCAAAAGGAAGAGTTTCATCCAAAGAAGTCCCAAACTGCAGCTTCCCCCACACTGTACAGCAGATCCTAAAATTCCCTGAACTACCCTCAAAATCTCCTCAATCTGCATTCCCAACATTCCTGGGATAATAAATAATCAAGAATGGAGCTTAAAATTATAGATGTGGGAAGGGCACATTTTTCTTGGTGCTAATGGGTTGTGGTGACACCTTCAAAAACCTTCTGTAACCATGACATTATTTATGACCCAACCCAAAATTCCCCAGTTTTATTCCCAATGCTTTCTTCCCTTCTGCTCCGATGGAAATCAATATAACCCAAATGGGAACACTCAAAAATTAATATAAAATAATAACTGAATGACCCTGGGATATTTGGGATCATCTGACTGAAGCATTCCATGCCCCAAACCCTTTTTTTGGGGATGGTAAAGGAAGTTGATAGTCTCCCACCTTTTTAATTGGGTCAACAAGAATTTAGGAAATTTAACTTTTTTAATAGAACTTCTTTATAAGAAGGAAGCTTACATTTGATCTGAAGCAGGGAAATATTATTCCGATCTAAAATGCAACCCTTTTAATACCTTAAAATTAATTAAATATAATATTTCAAATATCACTCAAACATAAGAAAAGAGAAATAATCTATGGTTATTTTGCAGGATTAACAAGTTTTGCTAATAAACTGAAGATTTTTGAGATGGATCTTAGTTTCTGAAGCAGACTAAGAGTTATTTTTAATCAATACTTAATTGGAAATTCTCATTTTCCCTCCACAGAGGTGCCCAATACCTTCAGCAGATACCATTCCAACCCCTGTAATTTAATGAGAAGTTTCTATGTATAACCCAACTGGAATCTGCAATTTAGACAGTCACTCAGAGCATTTGACTTTGAGAAAACACTTCCCCCCTTCTTTAATGTGCTATGGAAAAAAATCCCCATAAAAGCAAAATAATTGAGAGGGAGGAAAAGTAAAGAAATTTTGTATAGAGCAAATTAATTTTCTTTTCAACAACTTCTGCCTTTGAATTGTGTTTGGGTTTTGACATTGAGCATCTCCCAAAGCAGAACAGGATCCTCTTGAAAGGCTTTAATCATTGGGATAGAATCAGAGCTCAAAGATTACAGATTAAAATCAAATTGCAGCTCAAGAATTAATAAAAAGTGGGGGTTTTAAAAATACTTTAATCTACTACTCTACAGCTCCCTTCTGAAAGGAATGAATATTTATTGTGGACTTCAGATGAATATATTGCTTCACATCAAGGCAGCTCTAGTTTTTATCCTCAAATGACAAATTCCACTGCCTATCCTTTGTCTCAGAACATGTTTGACTTTGGAAGGTATTTGAGAAAGATCAGAGGTCTCTAAAGAAATGAAATGTCTTCAACAACAATTGCCTCAACAATTCCCTCAACGACAATTCCAAGATCTGGAGTTTCTCACCTCACAATATATTTCTCACCTCAATATTTCAAGAGGATTTCTGGAAGATCCACTGGATTCAAATATTGTGATTGAGCAGGACCTTGGAACCACCTGGCTTTGGGCACTGACCAAAGGAGACCCATCTCCATATTCATGGGGAGAACCAGGGAGACACGAGGAGGAAAATTCCTCCATCTAGAGGAGGAATCTCCTTTTTAAACTGTTTGGTACTATTGCATGGAGAACAAGGAGGGGTTTTTTTGGGAATTCCAGTGAAATTCAACAAGCTCAAGTTTGAGACTTGATGTTGAGCACTTACTTTGCTTTTGCTTCTGCATCCTCATAGGCTTTGTTGGAGACGTCGTCCAGGCCCCCGATCAGGTGCTTGAAGGAGCTGTAAAGACAAAAGGATGCTTTGAGAGGAAAATCATAGAAACAACAAAGCTGGAAAATACCCTGAAATACCATCCAGTCCCACCAGGTCCACCACGGAACTTGAAGAGATTCCATGTGATAGCCAAGAAATCTAGTGTGGCTTTTTGGCAGCAGTGGGGGCTGGATCTTGATGCTGGTGACCCACCAGCTCCAGGCCTCAGAAATGCTGGAGATGGACAAACCAACACCAAGAAGATCCAAAATTATTTATCCAGCCCACTGAAATGGCTGCTGAAGGTTTTTACCCTCCAGTGGAAGTTTCAGAGCAAATGTGGCTGGTGGGGGCACCTCAACCATCACATCCCTGTCCTCCAACCAGGAACCTTGAAAATCCCTCTGCTTTCAAAGTGAAATTTTCACTTCTGGATCCCACCTTTCTCATCTTTACAGAAAAAGCATCCAAAAACACATCAAAGAGGGTTCAAATTGAAAGAGAGGGAATTCAGGTTGGATATTGGGAATTAGGAATTGTTCCCTGGCAGGGTGGGCAGGCCCTGGCACAGGGTGCCCAGAGCAGCTGTGGCTGCCCCTGGATCCCTGGCAGTGCCCAAGGCCAGGGCTTGGAGCAGTCTGGGAGAGTGGAAGGCATCCCTGGCATGGCACAGGATGATCCTTAATAGCCCTTCCATCCCAAACCATTCTGGGATTCCATGAAAAACTAGAAATTAATAATCAGTCAATGCCTTGAAACAAAAATATTCCAGGTGAAAAGCTACTTTCTACTATCCAATTTCATTATTCCCAGTGGGTCTGTCACACGCAGGTTTTCTTTTTTTTCAAGGAAGAAGAATTTGAAAAGATGAACTGCTGCAAACCAGAGTCTCTTGACTGATCTCTGCCTTAATGTCACAGCCTCACAAATTAAAATCCTGCAATTCTTCTGTGCTCCTGACACTCCTGAGGCATGAAACACGGAGCTGAAGAAAAGGAATTGCTCTAAGTCGACAAAAAAATGAACAGAAACATTGGGAAAAAAAAAAAGAAGAAAAAACCCTAAAATCCCCAGTGAGGGCCACATTTCTGACATAAGGAATAAGAAGGGGATGTTTAATATTGCCCTTTCTCAAGGAGGATTTGTAGGATCAAAGAGAATGAACGACACTGAGCAGGTGAGGAAAATCCAGGGGAAATGCAATGTCCTGCCAGGCACGGGGTGAGCTGGGGACACTCCGTGTTCCTGGGATGGGAACAGTGGGACCTTGAGTGGCTCAGACACACTGACAGCCTCAAGAGGGTCCTTCAGGAGACATCTGACCCGATGGAATGCACCCCATGGATGTGTGGAGATTACAGCAGAACCAAGGGAGGCACAGTGATCCAGCTGGATTTTCCCCATCACTCTGGGGCAGCAGGTGACAGCTGGGAGAGGTGGTTTGGATCTGGAGCTGCTGGAAGGGCTTTTCCAGAGGAATTCTCTTCCCTGGGGCTGTGGCAGAGCTGTGTGCACACAACCCTGTGCTCTGGGTTGGCCCTGCTGGGGCAGGGAGGTGCCACCAGGTGCCCACTGTGGGCCCTTCCAAACTGACCCATCCTGGGATTCTCTGCTGGGAGTTACAGCTCAGGAAATGCCCTCTGCCCACACCAATTTCCCCAGTCTCCCACTTCACTTCATTAATTATATTTTAAATAATACAATCAAGAAAATAATTTATGCAAGCAAATTAATTAATTCATCAATGAGGAAGACAAGGCACAAACCCTTTGCTCTCACATAAACTTGTGTCAGTGGTTTCTACCCCATCTGGTAATTACTAATACTTTTAATATTAAGACATGTTAATAATGGGAGTAACTTTTCAACTCCCAATGCCTTGCTCAGCAGTGAAAACAAGAACATCTCAGCTCCTTCAGCACCTCAAGTTTTATCTTCTGCTGCTGGGAATGTGCCATGGGATGAAGCCAAACCTTGGAAAGTGACAGTGAGACAAAAGCAGGATTGGGGTGTCAATGCCTAATTGCACCCCAAACAGGTATTTAGGCAATTAATTAACACAGTTACACCATTCTGGAAGGCCACAAGGGCCTTAATTGTGCTTTAGGCTTCGTTTGCTTAGGAAAATGTGGCAGGGTTAAAAACCCCTTTTTTTGGCAATGCAAATAAATCTTTTCTAGTGAAACAGCAAAGAAGAAAAAGTCACTGAAAGGAGTAACAACAGTTTCTCTAAACCCCTTAATTTTTGTTAAAATTTTAAGCCAGATTTAGCACTGGGCAAGCTATCAAAGTTCACTTGAGTCCCTTTTTTATTGCCCACCTCAACGTTGTTGAAGTCTTGGCTCAATCCCAACCTCCCCCAGAATTCAATCAGAAACTGCTTGGGTTTTTTTTCTCCCCGTGGCCTTTTCTCTTCGTTTTTTTCTATTCTCTCCTCATAACCAATTTTCTCCATGGATAAACTTTGCTCCGACTGGGAGAAACAGAAAAGCAGCAAACCCTAAAATCTCCACCGAAAGAGCTCGGCTCAGCTTATATGGGGTCAGTCATGCCAGGATAATACTTTTTTATTTCATTTTTCTCCAATTTCCCTTGCCAGGAGGGCTGAGCCAATAACCTTTGTTGACACCTCACAGCTCTTCCTTAAAAATCCAAACCCAGGCTTTGAAACACAGACAAAAAATGGGAAATCAAAGTGGAAAAGAAGAAAATAGCTGAAATATTTTAAATGTTGCCTTAAAAAAAGTGCATCCTCTTGATATGTGCATCTGAAGAAGACAAGAAGCTGGAAAAACAGCATTTAGAGTAAATTCCAGGTAGTTCTGTAACTCTCTGTCAGCAGCAGCTGGGCTTTGAGTTGTTCTGGCTCTGGTCCATCAGCTCCTCTCTCTCCATTTGCATGAGACAATTTTGTCCTCCCAACACCCACAGTGTTGCTAAATCTCCAAGCTCCAGGAAAACGTTGTTGGCACCATAAATAAATTATATGGAGGGGAAAAAAAATCCCATATAAATAAAAGATGAACCTGAATCAACCTCGGTGTAAATATTCCAACAGTTCAGGAGCAGCCATGAACACTTTCAAACACTTTCTTGGTTTCAAGAGATAGGTGTGAAAAAAAAAGAATTCTAGAGTTGCACCAACTTGTCCCTGAGGGTCCCAGTGATGAGCCAAACGTCAGGAATGAGTTTGGAGCCTTTCCCTCCTGTTTTCTCTCCATACAAAGGGGCTGCAAGTGAAGTCTGTCTGTGCATCTTTATTCAAATTGATCCACAGAACAGATGCTCAAGGCGTGTCTGCACCATTTTTATCAGAAGACCTTTTACAGACAAGTTCCTAAAGGACCAATCCATCAAATCCAGCACATATTTGTTAACTTTTCCCCAATCTACTTCTGGAACAAATCTAATAACGCCTCCAAGGAGCCTGGAAATTCACAAGGATGAGCTCTGACAAGGCCAAGCTCAGAACAATTTGGAGGCAGCACCATCGAGTAGCTCCCATAGCAACTTTTTTTCCCCAGAGGATTAATTCCTGCAGTGCTACCACAGGAAAAACTTCATTAACAACAGCCTTGATCTTGTAGGGTCAAGGCAAGTCCTAAAGACAGAAATTCCATGAATCATAAAAAAAATACCCAAAAAAAACACGTGGAAATAAAAATGCCTAAAAGCCATCTGAGAGGAGCAGTAAAATATTAATGTGTGTTCCCAGAGTGGAGGTTTGAGCAGCAGGAAATAGTGGGGCTGCAATGAGCTGTGTGGCTCCTCAAGTAACCAAAGGCTTCTCCAAATTCCCTCAGATGATCAGATATCCAGCTGGCCTTTTTTGTCACAATTCCCACGAGTGCTGTGTGGATTTTATTGATGTTTCCAAGCCAATTCCATAAGCCCATGGCTGGATCTGTGCTCCATGTCTGGCAGGAAGAATGTTGGATAAATCAATCCCAACTCTCACCAGAGAGTTTGAGCATGGAGCCTTGCTGTGGTCCCTCACAGGGCTGCCACCTCACTTCCTCAGCCTTGTCATCCTCTCACTTCATTTTCTCCACTAGATTATGGTGTCTCCTGTTCTGTGTTGAAATTTTGATGCTAATGGGAAATTCCTTGGATTATTTTCTTTCTGAATTCTGAGTTCTTTCTTTCAAATACACCTGATCAGGTAGGACTACACAATTTTTTTGGTTTTCATCCCTAGGGGACCAAAATGAATGGTGCTCTCAATGGGAATCATAGAATTCCTAGAAAAGTTTGACTTGGAAGGGACCTTAAGGCCCATCCAGTGCCATAGGCAGGGACACCTTCCATTATCCCAGGCTGCTCCAAGCCCCATCCAGCCTGGCCTTGGGCACTGCCAGGGATCCAGAGGCATCCACAGCTCTCTGGGAATTTGTGACAGGGCCTGCCCACCCTCCCAGGGAAGGATTAAGAGCATTAAGGACCAAATCCCACTGAAATTCATTATTCTAGTAAAGGAAGGGACTCAAATGCAAGATGGAAAAAATGGAAAAAATACCAATGCTTTTCATAACAAATATTTTCAGGACAAGGACAAGTGGGAACAAAGTCCATGGGATGCAACAAATGCTTCTTGCAGGTTGTTTTCATTGTTAGATCAGGATTTTGCTCATTCCTACGCCAGAAAAGCATGCTGGAAATGCACTTTGCAAAGCACATCTTCCTAGATTGGCAAAAATAGCTGTACTACTTTTTGGGAGTCTTTGGGGTGTTTTTGAGACTGGAAGAGCCCTCTTGTTTCACAAGGAAATTAAAAAGCAAGGCAGAACCAACATCATCTGGTAATTAAAGACCCATCATGATCTCCAGTTTGACTTCCCTTGTGGTATTCCCCACTCCCGCTGCTTCAGCCCTGTAGCCATTTTATAAATTCCAGAGATCCTTTTAGGCAAAGCATTCCCTCTTGTCATGCTTAAGCAATTCCCTTCTCCAACCCAACTTGCCCAGAGCTCCTAGCTCATCCCTGTGATGAAAGTTTCCTCCCTTTATTTACGCCCAACTACAAACCCTGCAGCAGCTAAACCAGCCCTAAAATTGCTGGGAATATTGGCAAATCCAGAGGCAGGCTCACAACTCCCTTAGGAATAACTTCTTGTGGCACCAAGGTGTGATTCGCTTTGTTAATGAGATGGGGAGTGTGGCAGCTAGAACAATTTTTGGTTGCCTTGGAATGATTTCACAAGGAATTTGGAAGAGTTACCCTGCTGCAGATAATTCCAGTGGGTGATGCTGGTCAGTGAGGCTGGAATTCTCCAGGAATCCCATGTGTTAAGGAAAAGGTCTTTTCCCATCACTTGTTTTTTGAAACTGCAACAGCAGTTTTGCTGAGCTGCTTCAGATGGGGACACCCACTGAGCATGGAAATTGCTGCTTCAGTGGTTCCATCTGATTAGGCAAAGAGCTTGTCTGGGAAAAGGGAAATATTTGGCAGCTTCAGTGACTTGTGTCACCCCTCCTGCTGCACGGAACAAATTCCAGCTGCAGGGAACACCCACTCCCTGCTCCCATTGCCGCCTCCTGTGTCACTCAACGTTCTCATCCACCACCACAACTGAAAAGGTGTTAAAATTTGCTCTGTCTGGATATAAAAAATTGGTTCTTATTTCCTCACCAATTTCCTAAATTGCCACAAGTCCTGGTAGTTTATCTCTACATGAAATGTTGCTCCTGCTGTTGTCATTCTCATTCCTATAAAATAACAGCCTAAGGAAGAGCTGGGACATGAAATTCAGCACTGGCCAGGACACAGGACAGCCTGCTCTGAGATATAAATAGGACTATCAATAGGGTCACTTTTCTTGCACTATAAATAAGAATTTTTAAAATAGTGTTACTCTGCTAATTGCACAGTGTTAATAGAATCTCTGAGGTAGATTAACCACAGCTTCATCAGTTTAAATTTAACTTGTACTTCCTTACTATTTCAAGGGCATTGTATGCTGAGGACAAAGCACAGGAGACAAGGAAAGGAACAGTCTGGGAAATTATCAGGAACAAGTGTCTTGAATTATTTGGGGTTTTTTAACTCTCACAGTGCAAACCAAAAATACCCGCTGCAAAAGTGTAAAAATAAAAAGCAGAAATTGTTGCTTTTTACTTATCTGAATTAATGATTGCTAAATTATCTAATTATTAAAAGCATAAAGATTATCAAAATGTTATCTTGCTAAATAATCAAATTCTTCTTCCTCTCTTTGCCCCACAGCAAGAGAAGGGAGGGTGGAGGTTTTACCTACGAGGTTGAGAAAGGAGCCCTCAGGTGTTCCCCACCTGTGTTCAATGGACAAACCATGGGTTTTGCAATTAAGAATGAATTAACAGAAATAGAACTTATCAGAATTTCTGAAGGTTTTCCCCAGCTCAGCCTGTACAGAGCACTGGATTTCCAGAAATGGAGGCCTGTGAGATATCTCAACACAAACCACTGGTGTCCCAGCAGGATTGAGGGGATGGAGATCAGCCCTAAAAGAGCACAGAACCCCATCTCTCACCAGAACACAAGAAGGGCTCCAAAATCACTTCTAGGGATCCACAGGGATCATGGATCCAGCTCCTGGCCCTGCCCAGACACCCCAACAATCCACACTGTTCAAAAAGCTCCAGGCCCACAGGTGGGTCCCACATACTTCAAAAATCCAATGGTTTTATTTTTCTTTCCAACATCAGCAATTTTTTTCTCGTTATTCCACAGTTTCGGCTGCCTCCTGCAGGTTTCTTGGAGCTCCTGCCTGAGGGGAGGCAGTGCGAAGTTAACACCTATTCACCCTTTCTGTGGGTTTCACAGATCCATAGCACATTCCAATGGAAAAATTCCCATAATCTTGTGAGTGTCCATGCCTTGTTCTGGTCTGTACCAGTACTGCACAATGGGAAAACCAGCCCAGGAGTCATGTTCCATTTTCATGTCATTTTTAAATCCCATTCCCAGTAACTGCAGAGAGCAGCTGGATTTGCAGCACTGGAGCATCCAGGCACGTTTTTTTCTGGATTAATTCTCTCAAGTTTCCTGTATAAATTATTATTTTACTCTTCTGACCTCCAGCATCTCCTCTGAGTGACAGAGCTCTCAGCAGCGCTGTGGTCTTCTCCCAAGGACTCTCCATCTCCACATGGATGGGATAACATCTTGCTCCAACATTTGCCAGGAGCAAATACTGTGGAATTTTCACAGTAATTCCAGCTCCTCCTTTACTTCCATTTGGACTTTCTGTGATTCTAATTGTCACTATTGAGTTTTGTAATTGTCATTGTTGAGTTTTCTTATTGTCACTATTTTGTTTCATTGATTTAGGGGAACCTTCCCTCCACTCATCAAATCTGTGACTTTATCACCCCAAATTAAGAGGCCCCTCTGAAGGAGATGATCCAAGGCTCTCATTAAGCTCTGGAAAAGGTTTAAACTGGAGTTCCCTCCCAGCCCCAGGCAGAAAGAGGAACTTACTCTCTGTCTATGACCAGACAAGTGACTGCTTCAGCTGCGATGACGTTGGCTGTCCTGACATCCTCCCTGCAAGAAAAAACACATTTCTCCAGTTATTTCCATGACAATCTTCTGATTTCCAACACACAGGGCTCTTCAAGGACTTTGAGGACAAATTTCTGGCTTTCACAGCTCTTCCTTGCTGTTTTCATCATTCACATAGGCTAATAAAAGACTAGAATTCTAAGACTAATAAAAATAATCAATTTAATTCATTTTAATCAGATCGATTTGGTGTTCCAGTGTTTTAGAATCAGCATTGCATTTTCTGGGTTCACTTTATTCCAATTCCCTCCAACCTTTCCATGTTCCAAAGGTTAAGTGGATTACAGGCAAGAGAGACCTCCCCTCTTCTGCACACCCCTCATTCATCTAGGCTGGAACATCACTCTAGGCTTCCACTGAGGCAGAAAATCAGATTTACAGGTGCTGTTAGGAATAGAAATTCCCATTTAAAGACTGGAGGTATAAAAGCAGAATATGGTTAAAAAAGGGTGATGTGCACTCTCCCTTTGAGGTCATAATTAATTAACTTTAATTGCTTTGGAGCCCCCTTCATGTTCATACCTTTAGAGCAGAGTAAGCAGAAATACAAGGGAAGAACATTAATACTCCAGCCTGTGCTGGAATGCTAACTCTGAGTCTATTTGGACTGGAATTGAGTGTGTATTCGTGCTAATTAACCCCACTGATAAATCACAATGTGCTATTTCAAAGCAATGAGAAAGAAGTAGTAGAATAGCAGTGGATAATTATCTCTATTAACTCCTAAAACTTGAGTAAATACAGAGAGCATAAGGAAGGATAATATTGAATTCCTCATTAAGTTGCTGTAGCCAGCTTTTGACAATATATTGATTCATTAAAATGAGAATTCAAACTTGTTGGTGCCCACTAATTCCCATTAAAACTCAACACATTTGTCCCATTATCCCAGATGCCACATAAAGACATTTATCCCTGTAAATTTATGGATCACAGACATGATTTGCTTACTGCTTTACACTTAGATGATTACAGACCAGGAAAATACAATAAAATTGGTGGCCTCAGTTCCAATATTTTCAATAAAATTTGAAATTAATTATTTAGATGCATAAGGGACTGTTGTAATTTCGGTTATCTTCTATTAATCCATCCTTTTCTAGAAGGTGACTTTGGCCAGCAGCTGCAGAAATCCATGGCATTAAAGGCCAATGAAACCTTGGAAGTGTATAGCATGAAAAGCTCCAAGTGCAAGGCATTAATTGGGAAAGAAATTACTAAGAGGGGATTACAGGCAAGAGCAACCACCAGCAAGTGCCCAGCATTAAATGAGAGAGTAACTACTCCAAGTAGGTGGCATTAAAGATCGCAAATAATTACTACAAGTGTGCAGAATTCAGTGCGGAAATTGCTATTACAGGTGCATGCTATTAAGTGCAATCAGTAATTACTACAAGTCCAAGAGTAATCCAGTGCACAGGATTCAGTGGAAAATTAACACTAGGAAGTGCACAGCTTCAAATGCAGAAGGAATTACTACAAGTGCATGGCATTAATTGCAACAAGTAATCATTATACATGAACTGCATTAAATGCAAGAGTAATTACTATAAGGGCACAGCACTAAATGTTATAATTACTACAAGTGGAAAGCATGAAACCCAGAAGTTACTACTGGTAAATGCACAGCATTGAAGGGAAAAGTAACCACTACAAGTGCAAGACATTAATACAGAAGTTACTACAAGTGCAGGGCATTAAATGCAGCAAATAATCACAGTATTAACTGAAACAGCAACTACCACAAGTGCAAAGCATTAAAAACAAAGGTAATTACTCCCAGTGCACAGCATTAAATGAAAAACTAATTACTAGTAAATACAGGAAACAACTAATTACTGCCAGTGCAAAATATTAAATGCAGGGGTTACTCCCAGTAAATGCACAGCTTTAAAGGCAAAAGTAACTACTATCAGTGCAATAACAAGTGAAAAGTAATTACTGCATTAAATGCAACAGGTAGTTTAATTACTACAAGTGCATTAAATACAAGTAATTATTTCAACAGCACAGCACTAAGCAGCTATTAGAAGTGCAATGTTTAAAATAGAACTGATAATTAATTAATTAATTAATCAATTCCTGGCAGTGCCCCACCACCCCCTGTGGCACCAGGGAGGAGAGGAGAGGAGAGCACTGACTCGGACACTCCCTGGCCTTCATTCCCTTCCTCCTCCTCGGAGCTGCTTCCCGAAAATCCATGTTCCTCTTCCGTGGAGTCGCCCTCGCTCCGCGAGCGCTCCATGGCCCCGGCTGCTCCTGCATTTCAGGGGACACGCCTGATCCCCTCCAGCTCCCAGCTCCGTGCCACCCCCTCCAGCCCAGAGCTGGGCACCTGCACAAAGGTCACAGCTGCTGCGGGGGCTCTCGGCTCAGGAAATCCAAGAGGGGAGGATTTGGGAGCCCTCAGGACATCCTTGGCTGTGGACAAGGGCCAAAAATCCCAGCAGGAGACCTCGCATGCCCTTTTCAGCTCCTTAGCCCAGCAGAGGAATTAGGTAGCAACAATATCCACGTTCCTAAATGCTCCCAGGTGTGCCACCACACCGTTGGAAACGAGGATGTTATTTAAGGGATGAAATGCATAGATCTGTTTTTCTCCTTGGAATTTACAGCCAACTTCACCACATTGGGAAGTTACAACAATTTTGCTTCTGACAAGCTGTGAACAGCTCAATTTAAGAAGAGATAAGTTTATACATCAGCCTCTGTCTAATAGTTTTACCATAGGCTGCCATAATTTGCTCTAAATGTAGAAAAATTTGAGGTTATGACCAATTTTTTTTGCTTTTTTTTGCCTTCCTACATCCCCAAACTGCTTGGAGTCCTGCTCCAACACCTTCTCCCATAGCTCCCACTGCTCCCAATCCCTTGGACAGGGACTCCATGCCTGCCCTGGGCAGTCAGTTCAATGTTTAACAGCCCTTTCTGCAAGGGAATTTTTCCCAATACCCAGCCTAAACCTCTTCTGGTGCCATTTGAGGCCCTTTCCCCTTGTCCTGTCCCTGTTCCCTGGCAGCACAGCCCGACCCCCCCTGGCTGTCCCCTCCTGGCAGGGAGTTGTGCAGAGCCACAAGGTCCCCCCTGAGCCTCCTTTGCTCCAGGCTGGTGGAATCTCAGCAGCATCTCCTGGGAGTTTATTACTTTTAGAACTCTCAGTGCAGTTAAGACAGAGCAGAATTTCCTTGACCAACAGAGCCTTGAAAGACCTGAGGCCTCAGCTTCATAAATATTCCAGTCAATTATCACAAACGGCTCCTCTTTCTTTGTAAATCTTGTTGTACAACACTTGGCAGGGCTTAAACCTTTCAGCTGGAGCCACTGAGAGTAAAAATGTATTTTAGGAGCAGTCAGTAAGTGCTAACAAGATGCTCACAAGGCATAAAACAAAGTATTAGAGGGAGCTGGTACATTTTCTATTTGAAGAGGCATACATTTGGCTTATATTGAAGAAAGAGTCAGTAAAATAGTATTTTTGAAGCTCAACAAGCTGAATTGTTGTTTTCTAAGAAATATTTTGTTTTCTCAATACTCATGAAGCTTAAAACACATGGGGTTTTTGCTACATGTCCTCAAACTGGAGTACCTTGGAGTCAAATCCCTCTTGTTGTGTTTCATTCCCTTTTAGAAAGTGAGATTTTAATGCCTGACGGAATTTTTACAAGATTTTTTATGAAATAGCTTTTCAAGTGCAGATTTTTCCAACGGCACCTTTTATTAGTTTCACATTAAAATCTATAAAAGTTTAGTAGAGCGTGCTGTGTTTATTAATCCCAGTGGTGTATTTTTTATATCAAAGCCAATGGCAAATGGATGTTGGGTTCTCAGGAAGATGAAAAGGCATCCAGGGGCAGCCACAGCTTCTCTGGGTACCCTGTGTCCTTTGGAAGTCAAACTTTCGTCTGTGTGGGGTGGTTTTCCCCCATGGAAATCAGGCAGATACAGGTGATTGATGCAGACATGGATCACAGAACTCATTACATTTGGAGAAGAACTCCAAAATCATCAATTCCAGTCTTTGACTGGTCCCCATTTTGTCAACTCCTCCCCTGGCAAGGTGGCAGGCCCTGGCACAGGGTGCCCAGAGCAGCTGTGGCTGTCCCTGGATCCCTGGCAGTGCCCAAGGCCAGGCTGGATTTGGGGTTTGGAGCAGCCTGGGACAGTGGAAGTTATCCCTGCCATGGCAGGGGTGGCACTGGATGGGGTTTGAGGTCCCTTCCCACCCAAACCAGTCTGTGACCCTATGGACACAGCCACATCCAGTTGTTCCCTGATGTTCACCATTTCCTTCCCTAAAAAATGAGGATAAAACTTCATTTCTTAGCTCAAGAAACTGGAGAACCTCAAAGGACCACCCAGAGCAGGTGGGTCAGTGCCTGCTCCTTGGTGGCTGCCCTGCAGAACCTGCCTGGGAGAGTCCCTGGCAGAAACTTCCCGTCCTGTGGGACCTCAGGAGATGAGTGCTGAGATCAGCTGAGAATGCTGTTAATGAGGGTTTTCAGAAATAAAAAATTAGGTCTTCCCTGGTGGATTTTAAATTATGCCACAGGACTATCCAGAGGTTCCCAATTTGCTGCTATTTGAGTTTTTTAATTCATTTTCCCACCTTCCAGCACTGTACACTTGACCTTGTTACAATATTCTTAATAAGGTTGATTTAAAGCATTTAGTACAAGACATGTCAGATAGGGGAAAAAATGGGAAAAATGAGTTATTAGCTTAAATTTAGCAATAAGAGCTCAAAGCCCAATATCTCTATCTTCACGTCTGTTTTATTGGGTATTTTCTGATAACACCATGACTTTCAGGTGGGAGATAAGAATCAGCTTTACTGGGTATTCTGTGGAGTGGTACCCAAATTTGGTGATCTATCCTTTAAAAAGAGGAATTTGCCTACCTGGAGACTTAAAACTGTCTTTTTAAAGCTTTGGTTACATTTTATTTCTATAAATAAAATTAAATTAAATATTTTTTTAAAATAA